GAAACAATCAAAATACTTCTGCTTCCACGCCATCCTCAAGCAAGCACTCAAGCGGTGAGGTCGAAACCATCCTGGCCAGACTGCTGCAAGTATCCAAAGCATACACAAAGGGACTATGTCCTTCAGGTATGGTCACACCACCACCTCAGCCACGCTCCTGACCTCCCTAGTTGGACCATGCAGCACCATGCAGCCCAGATGGAGAGCCAGCACAGAAGTCTGCCCGCCTTTCTCATGTTCATGCTCATGTTCCTCACAATAAGGTCCGGCTCAGGGATTCATTTTGGTAGACCTGAGAGACGCCTTATTTGAGGCCTTAGACTCTGCTAGGTTTTCCAAGATGGCGCCAGTGTACCCGGCTTGCCGTCTCTCTGTCTCTCGTTTGTTCTCAGTTTGGTGTTCCTGTGGTACCTGTTCATCTGACATCTGTGCTGTTATGCATGATTTCGCACTGGTTCCATGCAGTCTTAGTGCTGACTTACAATCGTCAATCTTTGCTTAATATCAAAAATTGCATGGGAGTTTACTGTGGATTGTGCCCTGTTCTGCATTCTCATTCTCAATCCTCGTTCAACCAACCAGCTGGACTGTGCTCGCCGGTTACCGTGCTGTGTTCCTCTCTTAAGGAAGCGCCGCAGGAAGAGAGGTAATCGTGGTAGTGTTCGGGTGAGAATCAGAAGGGCAATTGCTTCTTCCATGGAGTTTCCTCTGGATGGTATAAGCTTGGAGGGTCTTCACTTGTCGCGACGCTCATGGGATTATAGATATGTTTTTCATCTCCCGGTTTTCCCGGATCTTCACTCATCTATTTTCTCTGCTCCTCCGCGTTTACGGATTCGTCAGAGGGGAGTGAACTGTTCAAATCTCTGCCAACTGGACTTTGTTCAACATCTGGATCTGGACTTGTCATCACAGCCTCCATTGAATATGGCCTTGAATGAATGAATGACAGTACAATGGTGCCAGTGCGCTCACCACACACCAGCTACAGGTGAGAGAGTCATAGAACCAATCAAGTGGTTGGGGATTATTAGGAGGCCAAGATTGACAAGGGCCAGTGGCGGCAATTTGACTAGGACACCGGGGTTACACCCCTACTCTTTGTGATATGGGATTTTTTTTTTAATGACCACAGAGAGTCAGGACCTTGGGTTTAACTTTTATCCAAAGGACGGTGCTTTTTGACAGTATAGTGTCCCCATCACTATACTGGGGCATTAGGACCCACACAGACCACAGGGTGAGCACCCCCTGCTGGCCTCACTAAAACCTCTTCCAACAGCAACCTAGTTTTCCCAGGAGGTCTCCCATCCAGGTACTGACCAGGCTCAACCCTGCTTAGCTTCAGTGGGCAACCAGTCTTGGGTTGCAGAGTGATATGGCTGTGGCCTTAGTGAACGCTAGGTCTGTATGCAATAAAACTTTCATTCTACATGACTTTTTTTTACCCGTTTTGAGACGTGGGCCGGTGCTGGTGAGTTGTCAGTTTTTGAAACACTTTGTCCAACAAACTGCTGTTTTATTAGTACCCCAAGATCTGCTGGTAGGGGTGGTGGGGTTGCTATGGTTTTTAAACAATAATTTAAAATACAGTCAGTTTCTGTTCGGACTTTTTCATCGTTTGAAGTAGAGTGTGCGGCATTACAGTTTACTTCATCCGTGCTGTTCTGTTCTCTCATCTATAGGCCACCTTTTCTGGGATTTTTCTGGGAAGTGGTTTCTCTTAATTTTTAACTTCTATTGCTCTGTTGTATGATCGTATGCTACTACTGGGCGATTTTAATATACATCTATGCTGCCCGGGGTGTCCTTTGGTTGTGCGGAGTTTTGCAATATCTTGGACTCATTTGGTTTTTCTCAACATATAAATCAAGCAACTCATGTACTTGGTCACACACTAGATCTTATTATGTCATATGGTTTATCTGCAGATGATGTATTCATTGATGATTTCGATTGCTCCTTTTAAACTGAAACAACCAAAGATAAAATCTTATTACTGGTTGGATGACAACGCTCGCTCTCTTAGACAGGGCGTGCCATAAAGCAGAGAGGAGATGGAAGCATGATCGTCTGACTGTCTTTTGAGATTTTTAAAGAGTGTCTGTCTGGTTAAGTTTCAGAGTGCTGCTAAATCAGCTAGATCAAAATATTTTTCAGATCTGATTACTGCACACTGTCATAGACCTAGGATCTTATTCTCCACAATAAATTCAGTAATTAACCCAAATTCCCAGTTTTCTAGGGAGCCGTCACGAAAGCGCTGTGAGAGATTTGTATCATTTTTTGTTGATAAAGTGAGTGCCATTCGTTTATTTTTTACTCCACAGCTCTCTGACCTGTCTTTGAACTCGCTGGCCAGTCCATTTTTCTTTTGTCGTTTTCAACATGTCTCTTTAATGGAACTCTCTGATCTCATTAACAAAATGAAGACAACTACCTCCTCACTCGATTTTGTTCCCCCAGAGATCATAAAAGTAGCCTTTCCAGTAATCGGCCCTAGTATCCAAGTGTTGATTAACTCATCTTTGGACACTGGTGTGGTTCGAATTGCTTTAAGCATGTGGTTGTTCAGCCTTTGCTTAAGAAGCAATGAAAAAAAATGGTTAATCAAATAACTTTCTCCAACTCAATGAGAACAAAACAGAAATTATTGTTTTTGGTCCCCCAAAAATGAGGACGGATATCATTAAGGAGCTGGGCAATCATTTCCCCTCAATTTCCTCACAGGTTAGAAACCTGGATGTTATCATAGACTCAGAACTAGGCTTATCCAAACAAATCAATTATGTTGTTAGGAACAGTTTCCATCAATTGCGGGTCATTTCCAAACTTAAATCGTTTTTGTCTTTTCAAGATTTGGAGAAGGTTATCCATGCTTTTATTACCTCTCGTTTAGATTACTGTAATTCACTGTACTCAGGTCTTCCTCAGTCATCGCTTACACATCTTTAGTTGGTACAAAATGCAGCTGCAAGGCTGCTGACTGGGGCAAAGAAATATGACCATGTCACCCCAATTTTAGCTTCCCTTTACTGGCTTCCAGTCCATTTTAGAGTTCGGTTTAAGATTCCGTTGTTTGTTTTTAAAGCTCTTAACCATCAAGCTCCATCTTATCTCAAAGATCTTCTTATTCCTTTGTCATCTACCAGACTTTTAAGATCCGCTGATAGGGCTCTTTCATTTGTCCCTCGTTCCCATTTGAAAACGAAGGGTGACCGAGCTTTTTCTGTCACTGCCCCCTGTCTGTGGAACCAACTGCCTCTGGACATTCGCCTTGCACCTTCCATTACTATTTTTAAATCGAGGTTGAAAACGTATATCTTCTCTTTAGCATTTTAATCTCACTTTATTGTTGTTTCATTATCTTGTTTGGTTCTTTTCTGTTTTTTTCTCTTTTAAATTTATTTTATATTGTTCAGCACTTTGGATAGCTTTGCTATGTTTAAATGTGCTATGTAAATAAAATTTACTTGCTTAACTTATTAACATGGCATGATTTTATGCGATCCCCATACTCTGACACAATGTCTCATTCCCTCCTCTTGGGGAGCCATGGTTACGCTGAACAACCAGCGACGTTTCTTTGTCAACTCTCCATTACACTTGAGCTGTGCCTCGTTTACAAAACAATCTGCAGTTTAGTGCTCTGAACAACCGGAACACCATTAAAAATTAACTATTCACTTGTTCCTGTCACTGGGATCCCAGATAGCAAGAACGTTTGGGCCAAATGTGGCTGACAGCTGTCACATTTGGCCTAGGTATGGCATGGCTGAGCACATATGGGCCAAACTTTAACCGTATATGTTTTGCCATGGATTTAGAATTGGAGGGAATTTTCTTTTGGATGACAATTTTTTTGGGGTATATGAGGTATATGGCCCAGATGATAGCACACAACTGAGAGCCATATGTGGCTTGGCTATGGCACACCATGGAATATGTTAACTTATGGTTAACATTTGGCTTTTATTTGGAAAAACACATATAAACTGCTGGCAGGTTAGTGGCAGTCCACATCTCAGCCCATTCAACAATGCTATTGGTTGCTTTGTGTCTTCCCTTATTCCTATAGGTGGATTACTGAAATTTTGAAAATATATCCGTTATTTCCCGCGCTGCTTCCTCTTTCAATCGCTGTTAAAAAAAGAAGATGATGAAAAAGCTCCCTATTTACAACAACAGCCTTTGCCCAGACACATTCTTATGCAGGTAAGTGCAGTTTTGGTGTTTTAAATGTTTTCTATTGGTGTAATGGTACACTTATTCGTACCGAAAATTGTACCAAACAAATACAGTGTCATATTTTAACCACTGCACGTGCGGAATGGCATTTGGTTTATCAGCCACATGTGGGCCACATACGGGCCGTCAGCCCTTTACAGAACTCAGCCATATAAGAATACCATATAAGGTCCATATATCAGCCACATCTGTTTTTATTATTTGGCTCACTCTGGGTTGGGTTACGGCACTGTTTAGGTTCAGTTCTGGCTAAAAATATGTGGACCAGTTTTGGGCCGGCGAACACAAACTAATCTGGGCCACACTTTAGCTGTTGATATGGGCCAGATCCACGCCAAAGGAAATTTGCTGACTGGGATCCTTCTGAAGTCTGTACAGAGATGCAAATGAGCTGTTTAAACAGGACACGTCAAAGAAAATGTTTTTACTTTTCCATTTGTCCTGTTGTCAGCAGACTCAAGCATGTGGAGTATGTCAATAACTGAACAGAAATCTTCGTTGATGTCTTGCTTTGGAGACAGTAATATGCAAATTTTGTGCCTGTGTGATGTCACAAATTCCACAATATCCAAACTGACCATTTTTGGACCTTGAATAAATAAACGCTTTGTTTATAATGAGGAGGACATTTTAAGCTATGAATTCTGCAGGGCATTTTAATTATATAAAGACGTCTTATATGACCCCTTTAAAACACCATCAAAAGCCCTGTATCATATAAGGCAGAGAACTTAAGCGCATTTAGGTAATACCTTTCTGGTCTGATGTAAGACACAATGGAGTCCAGAGGAGGGAGAGGGTCAAAACCCATTCCTGGCTGTGTGGTCACTTCCTGTAAGGGACCAAAAGAACCTTTGTAGTATTAAATAATGAAACAGATAAACTATATATGAACAAAACTACATATCACATTTAATACTTTGTCTAACATTCAAGTATTCCTTATAAACCAACGTAATACAAAATCAACACAGTTTTGTATGTGAGTGTGTGATTGTTTAGCTATACTTGAGAGCCAAATGTCCTCACTTATATAGTGAAATATCAACCAACTAGTGAGGGCATTTGTTGTGTCCTTAATGGTTATAAAAGATTATAAATTGACCAAATCATGTTTATATTAAAATTTTGGGATTTGCACATGAGGGTTATGTTCAGGGCTTGACATTAACACCTGTCAAATGCGAGTGGATTTCAGAAGTGGCATGTAACACAGTCAATCCCACTAGCCACTTTGGCGGGTTAGAGTTCCCGCAGGTCCTTAAAAAGTCTTACATTTAGTTGTATCAAATTTAAGACCATAAAAAGGCTTAAATGGTACAAGAAAAGTCTTTATTATAATTTAAACATCTCAAATTTGGGAACGGAAAGACAGTAAGAATTGCACTATGGCTAAATGTGAGGATTAAACTTCAAAAGGCTATGATTTCATTAAATAAATATGAGCTGCACTATTCAAAGTAAAAACGAAGCGTGGATGTTTTTATATGAATATCTCTCTAAATGGGAACCGACTGTCTTCAGAAAAGTTTCAATGGCATTTTCATTTAACCCTCTGGGGTCGACAAATGTCAAAAAAGTTTTTTTTGAAAGCCCCTAAAGGAGCTTAAATTTATCAGTCAGTTTTGATCGTACAGGTAGGAGCAATACATCAATCGAATCTGTAAAGGGTCTACTTTTATTTGTATACACGCATAACGACATACATCAATCGAATCTGTAAAGGGTCTACTTCTATTTGTATACACGCATAACGACAACAAAACTTTGTGCTTTTGTAAAATAAAGAAAACAAACAGGGTGCGCTGACTGCCGCTTTGTTCTCCGTGATCTTCATTTAGAAACGCGTCACTAAAATGAACTGAAACTCAGTGAATACTCGACACAGAGACATGAGAGCTATTATCTATAGAAAGCTTGACTTGTCTACTTTTAAACGAAGCAAGTCTTATCTAGTGTTGCTTTCGTCAACGAAAATTATGACTAAATATCGTCGTCAACGAACCTTTATCACGTGACGAAAACGAGACGAGATGCAACATAAATGCTGGTCATGTGACGATGACTATAATTAAATGTATAATGCAATATTGTTGACGAATAAAAACGAGACTAAATGTGGTTTACAAAATAAAAACTATGCTAAAATGTCTCTTCATTTTCGTTGACCAAAACGAGACGAAACTAAATGTTATAACGTTATTTTGTCTCGTTTAGTCGCGTTATTATTATTATTTTGCAGTATTTCTGTTTCCTGTGTCTCACTTCAGGGGCTGCATCAGGTCGCACTGCGCAGACGCAGGCGACGTCACTTCCTCAAGCCCCACTCGCGGCATTATTTAGAACAGTGTTTCCCAACCGGGGTCTGTCGAGAGCAGGGGTGCCGTGTAAAAAAAATATTTTTAAATTGCTAAAATGTTCAAAAAAAACATCTATTATATAATATCAATTTCTGATGTCGCCAATAATTAGAGATACACAGAAATTTCGGCTGCCGAAAAA